AACAAAACGCAGGTAATTTCCTGGCAGTTTGGTTTGGAGGAAGCAGCTTCCCTGTCTCAGCACTGTATAAGACCTTCGGCAGCAGAGCTGCCCCCGCGGTGGTTTCCCCCAAGGATGTGGCTGTGGGTGGGTGCTGAAGGGCTGTCCGTGGCAGGAGGAGGTGCCTGGATGAGGACCTGCTGGAGCCCTGGAGAGAGCGAGCTCTCCCCAGAAAGGTGCCTGCCAGCTCCTGAGCCCCGAGTTTCACAAGATGGCCCGTGGTGGGATGTGTGTAGGGGGTGGAGCCGTTAAACCCGTTTCAGTGCTGCAGGCAGGGCAGGATTGATTGCTCCACCACTGCCTTCAGCTGGGGGATGGCAATGGATGGGTGAAGAGCAGCCTGGGTGGCTACCAGGAGGAGTTGTTCCTTTGGTGGCAGGGAGCAGGGACCTGTCAGGAGCTGGCAGTGAGTGTACCTGCCTGCCTGATTTGTAGCACGATGATGGGGTGTTTTTTGGGGGGGGTGGTTATGTTTGTTTTTTTTTTTGGTTTGGTTTTTTTATTGTTGTTTGTTTGTTTTTTGTATTGTTTTGGTTTTTTGCTTTTTCTGATTTTCCCAGCTCCAAAAGCTGCCTTGGCTAATGGAAAAGGGCACCAAGTCCCCTTGTGAGAGTGGGAGCTGTGAGCCTGGCATCCAGGAGGTGGGCAGGATTGCCCTCTGTGCCTGCCATGTGTGATCTGTGTCACCCACATCGGGTGCTTAGCTCACCTGAACCTTCTGCACGTGGGCTGGGTGCCCCCCAAACAGGGGGAACTCAGGGCTCTGCTTCTGCTCTGGAGAGGAGGTGAGAGCTTGTTTGTGCCTTCCCACCATCCTGAGCCACCCGGCTGGCAGAACGGGAAAGCTTCAGGCATGGGCCCTGGGAGAGCTCTGCTGCTTTGCTTCCAGAGACCCTTAGGAACAATTTCCTCTGGCCTGAAAGGATCCTGCTTAATCTGAACTTAAAAGGAGCTTTTTTATGGAAATCAGGTGCTTGTGTGTCAGCATGTGAAATTACTCTTAAAAATGGAGAGGCTGAAATTGCTCTCCAGGTGCTCACTTCTCATCAGAGCTGCACAGAGACCTGCTGCTCTGTCTCCCTGCAGGAGCAGGATGCTTTTGCAGGCACAGTCACTTGCAGGAGTGGCAGAGGGGCCAGTGCCACCTCCTGGCCCCCTGTGGCTCCCGGGCAGGGCAGTGGGTGCTCACTGGGGCACTTGCCTCAGGGTAGAGGTTTGCAGCGGGTGGCAGTGCCAGCCCTGGCTGTGCAGCCTTGGTTTGTGTAAGTCCTGGGACTCTGCTTGTCTCCCCTGTTGGAACTGCATCCTCCTGCCCTCAGCACCCACCCTGTCCTGGGCAGCAGCTGGGGTCCCTGGACACGGTGGCTGGTGGTGTCCCCAGAAGCTGCTCACTGACGGGGTGTGAAGCTGGACCTCTGTGTGCTGATGCCATCACCTGTTGCATGAGCATTACAGGGGCAGCACCCTCCCGCTGTCCCCAAAAACCCTCTTCTCCCTCCTGCCAGCTCTCCCCAGCTGTACCCAAGGGCTGCAGACATGCCCAAGGACGGCCTCCTTTGGCTCTTCCACGGGGGAGAGATAAACTTTTTCTGGGAAAACCATGCCAAGTGGCTGACAAACAGGTATTTTTCCCATCTCCCCCTTCCTGCTGGGCCTGCCGTGTTGGGATTGCTGGCAGCTGAAGCATTTGCAGGCACGCTGCAGGCAGGGAGCCTTTCCTGGTGCTGGGAGCGGGATCCCCCCTCCAGAGGCACCTTCTCTGGGGCCGGGCATAGCAACCTTCCCTGAAGGACGTCCTGTCTCCTCTGGCTCTGCTGCATCCAGCTAACAGTGGAGAGCCTTGGCCCGGCATCTCAGCTGCCCCGCTTGCTCTTTCACCTCCTGAGTGCTGCCGGCTGTTCCCGCTGACTCCACGGTGTCGCAAGAGCTGAAGCTGCTGGTTAAAGTCCGGGTAAACAGCCCTGGCGAGGGAGGGGGTTGGACAGAGCTGCTCCTCGTGGGCAGTGGGGTGATTTATTTGCACCGAATAAGGTTTAAGCAATACCGTGTGGGGAGAGGAGATGACAGCAGAGCAGGACCTGTGATGGGTCCTGCTTCCAGGGAGGGAAGGGGCTGTAGGGTGGGTGGTCTGTGTCACACTGTCTCTCTGCAGGCAGATGAAAAAGGGTTAAAATTGCCACAAGTCATGGAGTGTGTCCCAAGTCCCTGCTCTCTGCACCTTCCCATTGAGGCCAGAGCAACAGCAGGGGACAGGGAGGGGACCTGGCAGTGTGGATGCCCTGTTCCTCCATCCTTGGCTAGGGCAACCTCAGTGCCCCAGAGGCTGCCAGTTCCCAGGAACGCCGTCCCTTTGCTGGGGCACTTCACAGGCTTCTGTGGATGTGGCTTTGCCTGTGGCATTCTGGGCAGAACTTCTCTGCCTACCCTGCATGGACAAATGTCCTTAATCCCAGTGGTAGCCAAGGCTGTGGGCAGGTTGTGGGAGGTGCAGCATCCCTCCCTGTGCCATCTGGTGTGGCTGCCATGAGCCCAGGTGCTGGTTGCCCCTGGACTGGTGCTTGTCCCAGGTGCTTCCCTGCTGTCTGGCTCCCGGAGGTACTGGGGCAGCAGCTGGTGCTGGGGGACTGGGAGAGAGCAAATATTTATGGCACTTAAAATGTCCAGCACTTCAGTTCTGCAGTGTAGGAGGGAGGGAAGTGGCCTTGGCAGCAGCTGGGGTGTTCATGTGGCTGTGGTGTGGAGAGGTGCCAGCCAGTGCTCAGCTTTTTGGGGACTGTTGCACTCAGCTGGAAGATGCTGCTCCTCATCCTGCTGCTTGCTGGGGACCTGCCAGCTGTTCCTCAGGAGCTGTTTGTCTTTGCAGGAGAAATTACAGGGCTTGGCAGCCCATGTGCCGTGGGACCAGCAGTGTCTGCCACCTCTGATGGACCCACCAAGGATGGGAGAGGGTTGAGGGGGCAGCAGGAGCACAGTGGGGACCCTGGGGATGGTGGCTGTCTTGTGGTGCCCCAGGGGAGAGGGTGGCTGGCTGGCTGCAGTGTCATGAGCTGGCCTGGCTGTGGCTTCCTCCCACGCCCCCAAAGCACAGGGTGCCATGGAGGAGTCATGGCTGGCAGTGGTCACCCGTTCCCACCTCCTAGGAGCTGCCTGCCTGGCCTGGGCTGGGCAGCTCCAGCCTCCCCGGGAACACACTGGGAAACAAGGGGCCTTTGTCTGCCCTGGAGGAGCTGGGCTGGCCTCACGCCCCATCCCCAGCACCGCACGGGGCCGGGATGCTGCCAGGCTGGGCTGGCGGGTCCTACCCTGGGCACTCAGTGCCATGGTGTCCCCATCCTCGCTGTGCCTGTGGGAGGAGTGGGATGCTCTCTGAGCAGAGAGCTGAGCTTTCCATTGCCCCAGCTGTGCTGAGTGCTGGCCTGGCTCCTTGGCTCCCTTGGGAGGACAATGCAGCCTGGTGCTTCCTGTGCCTGGGGGGAAAAACTAGGATAAGGCTCTTTTAAGGTGGGTGCTGCCCAGCTGCTGGAAGGAATGCAACGAGGCTTCTTTCCCTTCCCTTCAGAAAGACTGGGCTGAGAGCAGGCAGCAGTGCTCCAGGGGATGCCAGTTGCCAGTGGCACTGGCCCAGGGGAGCTGGATGCAGCACCAGAGATCCAGTGTCTCTCTTGTAAATTTGGAGGCCATAGAGAAGAAATATGACCTTGTGAGAAACTCTGCTGGTCTGAGGAGCTGGGGCCTCCTGCTGCTGTCACTGGGAGCAGCCACAGCCACGGTGCCCCCTATCAGCATCCCCTCACGGGGGTGCTTTGTGGGGTGCTGATAAGCAGAGCTGTGCCATGCTGTGCTGCACTTGGCTGCAGAGCAGGATAACCACCACTGCATCCAGCCCCAGCCTTTCCCAGGATCGCAGTGTGTTCCCCCCAGGACAGTGGGGTGTCCCCAGGTCTGTGGTGGGGCTGCAAGCCAGCCATGGCTGTGGTGAGAGCTGCAGTGCTGCTGAGTCACACCGAGGACGTGGCCAGGCTGGAGGGGCCACTGGAGGCTGTATAGGAGACTGGGAGCTGGCAGCCCACCTGACCCCTGAGGGCTGGGGCATGGTTCACCTTCCCTGGGCAAGGAGCAGGGACACCCTCGGGAGTGCTCTGGTGGGTGCTGACCTGGGCAGGGCTGAGCTGGGTTTGCCCTGTTGATCCCTGAGGGAGCCGGCTTGGCCTTGCACTTTCTCCTTGTTCCAGCACAAAGGGCTCCTGCTGCTCGGCGGGACCTGGCCATGCTTTGATGCGAGGAAATGCATGGATGTGATCCATCGTGGCCGGATGGGCTGAGCCCAGCTCCCCCAGCCCAGCTGGGCCCCGCTGCAAGGGCTCCAGCCATGCTGGGGGGAGCCCCGTGGCTGAGAGCCGGCATCCCTTGCTGCTTGGGCTACCAGGAAGGGCTGCAGCCGCTGTAATCAGCCCCCAGCAGCCGCTGCTGCGGGAGCCCGGGGCAGCTGGACAGGCTTGATGATAATTTTGCTTCCTGCTGGTGTGGCTGGTCTGCAGATGGACTCCCACCGGTGCAGGGAGTGGTGGTGGGCCTGCTGCAGCACTGCTGGGTTTGTAAATCCCAGTGCTGGCAGCTCACCTGGGGGTGTGGGGCTCTGGAGAGGGAGAGGTGCCTTTGGGGGGACAACACGCCAAATAGGCAGCTGTGGGTGTGGTGTCTTGCACGGTTTTCCCACCTCTTTGGCCAGTCTCCTCTTTGTCTCTTGCCATGGCTGGGCAGTGATGTCTGTGCAGGGCACCAGGTTGGCACAGGGCCCTGCTGCTGTGTGGCGTGCTCAGGGTTTTGGTGAGGACAGGCACACGGTGTCCCAGCCCAGACTGGATGCTGGCAGCTCCGGGCTCAGCCATCGTGGAGTGGGCAGCAGCCACTGACCTGGCCTGGTGCTGCTCCTGCCCCAGTGCCCCCTCCTCTCCGTGCAGGTGGCCTGGCCGGAGGGATCGAGATCTGCATCACATTCCCCACTGAGTATGTGAAGACACAGCTGCAGCTGGACGAGAAGGCAAACCCTCCCCGCTACAAGGGCATTGGTGAGCACCTGCCCAGTGCTGGCCCCAGCCCCTCGCTGGGTGTGGGGGCTCCTGGGGAGCCTGGCTGGAGCTGGGGTGGGATTTGGAAGGGCGGTGCGGGGTGGTCCTCGGCGTGGCGGGTGACAGTGGCACTGCTGTGCTCTGCCACAGGGGACTGTGTGAAGCAGACTGTCCGTGACCATGGCATCCGGGGGCTGTACCGGGGGCTCAGCTCGCTGCTGTACGGCTCCATCCCCAAGGCTGCCGTCAGGTAGGTGTGTCCCTATGGCGTGGGGTGAGTGGGGGGACCCCCAACAGCAGCAAACCAGGGACTGGTTTTCCCCTCAGTGTCTCCATTGGTGCTTCACCAAGGCCAGGTGCTTTCCCAGACGGGAGGTCCTCTCGCGGGGTGCGCGGCTGCTCCTGGAGGCAGACCCAGAACGGGGGTTGCAGCCCCCTGTCCGGGTGCCCAGGGGTTGGCACAGTGGCTCTTTTGCAGGTTCGGGATGTTCGAGTTCCTCAGCAACCAGATGAGAGACGAGCAGGGGCGGCTGGACAGCACGCGGGGCCTCATCTGCGGGCTGGGGGCTGGCGTGGCCGAGGCTGTGGCAGTGGTCTGCCCCATGGAGACCGTGAAGGTGGGTGGAAGGCAGCTACCAGTGTGTCCCCTGCCTTGGCACTCCTCTCTGGGCTTGGTGGGGAGGGTGCAAGAGCCAGGGGTGCCTGACTTTTGGGGAGCTGAGGGCCACATGAGTTTGCTGAGGCTAGTTTTGTAGGGGAGGATCTGATGCTGGAAAGCTGTTGGAGGTCAAGTCAAATGGTCCTGGCCCCTTCCCTCCTCTGGGGAGGAGCCCCACACTCAGGAGCAATCTTGTCACCCATTTTTGGACTGTAAACCCACATGGCTGCTTGCAGCAGCAGTTTCCCGGGTTTTGCTCTGCAAAATGCTCTGCTGGCCATGGGCACAGGCTTCCCCTGTGGTCTCTCCAGTATAGCCCGGCCGCATGGGTTGGCTCTGGTCTTGGGACTGTCCCTGGCACAAGGCAAGAGGTGGCCAACAGCCCTTTGGGGCCATCACACCTGCCCTTACCTCAGCCAGGACGAGCACATCATCTCCTCGTAGGTCAAGTTTATCCATGACCAGACCTCTCCCAACCCCAAATACCGTGGTTTCTTCCATGGCGTCCGGGAGATCGTTCGGGAACAGGGTGAGTCCCGGGGAAGCGGCACCCTGACCCCCTGGGTACTCCCGTGCTGTGGGGATGGGGTGGGAGGTGGTGGATGGGCACAGGCTGGGATGGGTGGCCTGAGGAGGTTTTTCTCTGCCAGTTGAGGCTGGTCTCCTCTCCAACACCCTCTTCTTGCAGGACTGAAGGGGACCTACCAGGGCTTAACTGCGACCGTCCTCAAGCAGGGATCAAACCAAGCCATCCGCTTCTTCGTCATGACCTCCCTCAAGAACTGGTACAAAGGTATGGTGCCCTCATTCCCCCAGGCCAGCCTGGCTGTGCCTCTGGCTCCCCCAGCCCACCCTTGGGAGCTGGGATGGACTTTCCATCAGCACACCCCCTACTTCTCATGGCTCAGTCACCCAGGATGCAGGAAGATGAAAACCAGGGTGGGGTGGCCCCAGCTCATGGGGCTGAAAGGTCCTGGTGCTGGAGCATCACTTTCACACCCACCCTGAGCCCCTTGCTGCTGTGTGGGCTCTGTGGGGCTGCTGCTGCTGGACAGTCTCCTCCAAACACTCCAACCCCCAGCTCAGCACCATGACCACGAGCAACCAGACCTGGGATCTTCCTTGTGGGCTCCCTTGGGAATGAGTGCTTCATCCCACCACTACTCTGCCCTCAAACTTTCTTCCTTCCCAGGGGACAATCCCAACAAGGTTATCAACCCCTTCATCACGGGGGTGTTTGGAGCCATTGCTGGAGCTGCAAGTGTCTTTGGCAACACCCCCTTGGACGTAGTGAAGACCAGGATGCAGGTATGGTTCCAGGGCACGGTGTGGGACCACTCTGCCAGCAGCAGGCTGGGGCCACCTGCTGGCTGGGAGCTGTTTCACATAGTCCCTGGGGCAGGCACATGATGGTGCTGGGATTTGGTTTGGGAGATACCTGGGGTTGGTGCTGGCAAGTATTTGCACAGAGATGGGGATGTCCCTGCCGGGTGTGATTTGCAGCAGCGAAGAGGAATCAGTTCCTCATGGCACACCCCCAGCTATCTGCCTCCCCCACAAAATCCCCCACATGCACCCTGGCTCTGGCCTCTGATCCTGCTTTCCCCTTCCCACAGGGGCTGGAAGCGCACAAGTACAAGAACACCTGGGACTGTGCCTACCAGATCATGAAACACGAAGGGCCCGTGGCGTAAGCTCTGCGGTGGGGGCGGCTGGGGGGCAGGATGGGCAGGGAGGGGGCTGTGAGGGCACCCAGCCCCACGGCCCCCTTTATCCCCGGCAGGTTTTACAAGGGCACGGTGCCTCGCCTGGGCCGCGTCTGTCTCGACGTGGCCATCGTCTTCATCATCTACGATGAGGTGGTCAAATTCCTCAACAAGGTGTGGAAAACGGACTGAGGGGCCGGGCCAGGCGGCCCCGCCTCCCGGGCCCCGCAGGGCTGCAGCTGGAGAGCAGAGACCAAGCCCACACCCGGCTTTGGCGCTGCAGGGGCCAGGTCTGCCCTGCACGCCCTCCCCCCAAACCTGGCCACCTTTATCTTTAGGAACAGGCTCTGGAGCTGGAGCAGGTTAAATTACTAGTTATGTGCTAAAAGGAGCAGGGAGGGAGCAGCATCCCACCATCCAGACCCCAAGCATCCCAGTTATGCCCACCCCAGTCCCCTGCTGACACTTCCCCCTGGTGCCACATCAGGTGTGAGTGCCGGTTATCCAGGGTGAAGTGTCCCCTGGGACAGTGGCCCCAGGGCTCCTGGCAGCCAGGAGCTGCTGTCTACCCGGGGAGCAGCTCTTTTTGGGGATGGTGAGAGCTGCCTAGAGCCATGGTGCAATGCCAGGCTGTACACGTGGCATTGCAAGCTGCTGCTGGGGCTCACACCACTGGCTGGGAGTGATGCACTGGGTCACAGCAGCTCCAGGGGGAGCCCAACAGCCCTGCACCTCCCGGGCCGCGAGGGCAGTGACCTGCTGGTGTGGCCCAAGGCTTCCTCCTCCCTCCCTGCCAGCACCAGGACCACCGGCGTGCAGCATCCCATCCCTGGGGTCCCACTCAGCCCTGGGCTGCTGGGCAGGGGCTGCCCAAATTTGCACATACAGCCAGGCCTTTAGTTGTGCTCACGGCAGGCCGGGGTTGGGGTGAGCTGGGTGCCCCCATCACTTGCCGTTTACAGTCGAGACGTGTGTTCGAGCCGGGGTGAGGAGGGGCAGCCCCGCCCCGCAGACTCGGCCCCTCGGCCGGGGGGTGCAAACCCCTGTCTTCTGCCACATTCCCGCCATCTGCCCTCCCGCCGCCTCTCTGTGGCCCCGTAGGTAATCCTGTAGCTTTTGGAGCTTCACGCTGACCCACTAACACCTGTGGCCGTGGGGCCAGAGCCCTGCCTGCCCACGCCAGGCTGGCCCCACACGATTTGTGCCAAACTTGTCCTGAGGGAGTGGAGGGCTGTGCAGGAGCCAGGGCTCTACCCGACCCTCCTCCCTCCTGTTGCCAGCGATGAGCTCAGCCTTAACACAGGAGGGCGAAGGAGGAAAGCCCGGGCACGGTTTACCTGCGGCTTTCGGCTCTGAAGCCAGCGAGGGTTGCATTATTGGTTTTTTTTTATTATTATTCTGTTTTACATTCGCAATTTGAATAAAATCAGTCTGGCTTTAGCAGCTGCGTTGGTGTCTGGGCGGTGCTGAGTGAGCAGCGAGCAGCTCCTGCCCTGCGGGTGGGGGACAAGGCTCCCCATCGTGCCAAGGTGGTGCTCCTGGGGGAGCATCAGCTCCAAGCCAGCAGTGCACCATTCACATGTGCTCCCAGGCAGCGCCAGGGTTGTGTTGTCCCATGCACTGTGCTTTATTGGTAATCCTGGGTACTTGTGTGAAGTCCTTGCCCTGCTGGGACAGCGAGGGGCAGTGGAGCAGAAGGGAACAGGCTTTGTCCCCCCGCCCAGCCCCGGGGGCGGTGCGGCACGGCCTGAGATCCCAACCCACCACCAGCACAGCCCTCGCTCCTCATCTGGCGTCCAGGAGGTGCAGGGCAGAGCCATCCCTCTGGGCTTGCAGGGTCCCGGTGCTATGCAGGGCCTGCTGCTCTGGGGGGGCTGGCTGCTGGCCACCAGCTGCCTGGTGGGTGCCACGGGCAGCTGCCGGCACCGCTGCTGCCCGGGCAGGAACAACGTGTGCTGGGCCCCCAGCGCCCGCCGGGCTCACTGCTACTGCGACTCGTACTGCCAGAGGACCGGGGACTGCTGCCAGGACTACCACGCCACGTGCCGCCGCGCCGGTGAGTGGCACAGGGCATGGCACTGGCCAGGCCCGGGGCTGGGGACACCAGCCTGGGCTGCTGCTCTGGGTGGTGGGTGTTTGCTGGTACCTGTTAGCCCCTGCTTTGAGCAGTAACAGGGTGCACCTGTGGGTGCCGGCTGGGCTGGATTTGTAACAATATCTGAATTTTCCCCTTTTTTCCACACTGAATGTCTGGCTGGTCCCAGTGCAATGAGAGCCCACAGGGGTGGCCTCTGGTCTGCAGCTGACAGTGGCGCTGTCATTGCAAGCCTCAGAGTGGTCAGTGTGGGACCCAGCAGGACAAACCCTGGCAACACCCCTGCCACTGTCACAGGCAGTGCCTTGCACAAGGACACAGGGACTGAGGGCTGTGCTGGGGGTGCCAAACAGGGATCGTGGGCTTAGGGGTGCGGAGCCAGCCCGCCCTGAGGACCCAAACGCGGGCAGGCAGGTGCCGGCTGTGGCCCCCTGGACAATTGCAACAGTCAGCCCTTCCTAATCTCCAGGGAGATTAGCGGGGTCCCAGCTCAGCGCGATGCAGCTGGGATAAAATCCTGCGGAAGCGGCGCACAATGTCCCTGTGCTGGCGGGGGTCAGGGGAGAGGGGCTGCTGGGGTCACCCTGGCCCTTGTCCTTCCTCCCCTCTCCCCCTCCCCTGTGCTGCATCCCTCCTGCGCTCCTCTTTCCACTGTTCATGGCGCTGAAGCTCTGTCTCTTTTCCCTCTCCTCCATCCCTCCTGCTCCCCTGGCAGCCGTGGGCTGCTCGGTGGGGCCCTGGGGGCCGTGGAGTGGGTGCAGCTCCCCGTGCGGGGTCGGCAGCAGGGCCCGCAGCCGCCAGGTCACCGTCCCGCCCCGGCACGGAGGGGAGCCCTGTCCTGACCTCAAACAGCGCCGTGGCTGCCTGGGGGAGCACCCAACCTGCGGGACAACCAAAGGTAACGTGGGATGCCTGATGTCCTTTCCTGTGGCTGACCCCATGTGCTGCTGTCCCCGCTGCCTGTCCTGGGGTGTCTTTAATCATCCACATGCCCCTCACGGCTGTTCTTCTGCCAGAGGTAGCCAAGATACTCCCCAAGTCCTTCAGCTGGGACTTCAGAGATCCCTGGCGAAGAGCTGGGCTGCCACTGCTGGAGGAGCCCTCTGGGTATGTGTGGGGTTGGGGCCCCTCTGCAACCCTCAGACCCAAGACATTTTTGTACCCCCTAGCCATTAATCTTTTCACCACCCAAAACTATGGCCCCATTGCACCTCCATGGCCCCTTGCATCCCTCTAGGTCCATTACCTTCCCACCCCCTAAACCATGATCCCTTTGCACCCCCTAAAGCTATAGTCCCTTTGTCCCCCTGCAGACCTATAGCCCCATTGCACCCTCATACAAAGCTATGGCCCCTTTGCACCCTCCACCCTCAAAGAGCCATTATCGTGCTGCCCCAAACCATGACCCCTTTGTACCCCCTAAACTCATGGCCTCTCTACACCCCCTCAGAGCCAATACCCTTCTCGCCTCCCCAGCCACGGCCTCTTTGCCTCCCCAAAACCACATCCCCTTTACACCCCCGATCCATCAAAAAACCCCAACCCCTGCCCTACTTTCCAACCACCATTCCCCGTTTTTTCCCACCATTTGCCCTCTTTCTTCCCCCCTACTTTCCCCGCTCCCCAGCTCTCCCCTCCCCAGCTACTGCGGCTATTTCCGCCTGACGCAGGTGGGACCCCCCTGCCGTGGGCAAGGCTGGAGCCGCCGGCTGCACCGGGACAAGCAGGTGTGTGTGGAATGCTGGGGGGACGTGTCCCACCACCGTGCCCATTGCACTGGACATGGGCTGCAAGGAGCCAGGTAGGTGGTAATTTTGGGGGGGGACACGCCCAGATGGAAGAACATCTTTACATATCCCTCAGGCATCTTTCTTTCATGTTCTTAATATATTAATATATAAAACTATTATTATAATATGCCATAATATAATATACCGTAATGTTATAAGATAAATCAATAATGTGGACTATAAATTGATGATATATAGTATAAAAATAAATATATTTAAATAGAATATTTCAGTTGGAAGGGACCTACAATGATAATCTAGTACAACTGCCAATATGTATTCTTATATGTAATATAAAACTACATATAATTTTTAAATTATATTTAATTATTTGTGGCACACCCCAGTTCTCAACAATTTTCCCTTCTAGGACATTTTGGGTGGCTGCCTCTGTGGTGGGGTGCCAGGGCTCGTGGGTACAGGAGGGGCTGCAGGAGGGTTGTGTCTGCTCCCCACCCGCTCTCATCTTCGTGTAGGATCTCCCTGGGAAGGTGAGCTGAGCCTCCCTATGGCACCACTCCATGCTGGGGAGGTGGGGGGATGAAATAAAAATGTGGTGTCTTTTATAATTTCATCCTTTGCAGGTTTGCTGCTCACCCTTGTATCCGACTCCCTGTGTTTACCATTAAATACTTTGTTGAAGAATGGGAAGAAAATCCTTCTTATAAAGATTAAAAATAAGGGAAATGCTGAAGTATGGTGATTAATGATAGAAGAACATCACAGAGAGGTTAAATCTGAGTGAGAAGATGATTGCAGCAGTGACATGATGTCATGCTCGGCCATGACATCATGCCATGCAATCAGCTGCCATTGGCAAGCGATATGAGGATGGAGCGTCTGAGATCACTCCCTGGAGTGAATGTTGGGTGAGCTGGGCAGAGTGACTCAGCTTTGTGCTGTGGTTTGCAGACAGGAATTAAACAGAGACACCCAAAACCTGCACGTGGGTGATGGTGCCAGAGGGTGTCCAGTTCCAGCTGTGGGGCTCAGCGGCTCCCACTGGAGGGAGCGAGGCTGAACTGGGTGGTGCTGGTGCCCTTCCTCACTCAGCGTGACGTGACCTCACTGGTGGGGTCCCTGGTCCAGCCTTGGCCTGTAGTACCACAGCCTGTGGTGGGAGGATGTGCTGTGCCAGGGCTGGCTCTTGCCAGGCTGGCCAAGGGAGGAGGGAGCCCAAGGTGGGGACAGCCCTAGGTCTGGAGGTGGGAAGGAGAGGGCAGCTCATGGAATAGCTGCCCCAGCCTCATCCAATGGGACTCTGGCTGCAGGGTGGCAACCAGCACCCATCCCCAGGAGGAACAGACTGTCCCCACAGTGGGGACTGTGGCCCTGGGCAGTCCCAGTGCCTGCAGAGGACTGTCAGCTGCCCAGCTCTCTGTGGAATGTAATGAGGAGGGTTCAGCCAGGCATTGGGTTGTCACCTACCCATCAGCTGCCTATGGCCATGAGCCAGGGTGGCCCGTAGGACTGGGGGCTTGAGTGGGGGGCTTAGGATTTGAGGTTCCTTCGCTGCAGCCAATGGCTGTTGCCTGTTTGCTGCCCCAGGATGTGTTTGGCTCCTGCTGCCTGTTACAGCTCCCTCTCACCCCATCCTGCTGGGCAGGGAAATTAAAAGGCTTCAACACTGGGAACGTTCTTGGCCTCTTTATTTGGGATGAAATCCCAGGTCGGCCGTGGACAAAAACACTGGTTAAAAAAACAGGTGGTGGGAGTTGAGGAGCACAAGGGGATGTGAGGGCTCTGGCGGGCGGGGCCTTCCCTGCCAGCCAGAGCCAAGGGCAGGGATGCCTTGGGCACAGTCCAAGGTGATGATGCACTGGAGTCAGGTGGACAGTTAGAAAACAGTGGGAACAAAGTGAGTGTGTCCCCCACTGCGTGTGATTCCCCTGAGTTAAACCACTGAACCCACAGGCCTGGCTGGTGGCCAGAGACCATCCAGCAAAGAGAGGGATGTGACTGCAGGGTCTCGTGTCACACCACTGCATGCCAGGAGGTGTCAGGCAGTCCCAGATGGTGGTCCCAGCTCTCCTGGTGCATTGCCCTGATTGGACACAGGGGCCAGCCCATGCTGCACCAGCAGCCCTTGCACCAGCTCCAGCTCCTGCTCCAGCTCCTGGGTGCCACAGTCCAACCCTGGCACAGCAGTGGCACCTTCCCCCAGTACCTGCAGCACCCGTACCACCAGCCGGGCCCTCACCAGCAGGACGGCCACGGCTGTGTGGAGTTTGGCACAGCCCAGCACCTTCATCCCCCAGTGGGCACCAGTCCCTGAGGAGAGAGAGGGTGAAGGAGCTGTGAGCATGATGGGGTCTCTCAGGGAAAAGCTGGCCTGGGGATGGGGACACCAGCTCACTTGTCCTGGGGGCTCCACACTCGCCATACCTTGGCTCCAGCAGTGCTTGCAGTACCGCAGTTCCTGCAGCACACCGGGGCCTGTGGCTTCCAGCCAGTGCAGAGCTGAGGCATGGAGTGGGCTGCCAGCAGGCACCTTCTCCAGGAGCTGCATCAGGACAGGGAGCAGCTGCTGTGCCAGGACGGCTGGCTCTGCAAAA